ACCATCCACTGGTATTTTTCTTTCACCAATGCGTTTTTCTGTATTGTTCATTTGGTGGCGTATAAAAATTCCTCCTTCATGTGCCTTCCACTCTAACCACTCGGTTGCCATCCTGGAAGAACTTTCTCTCTCTTGAAGCCAGTTTCCTCTCGGCGTCTTGTAAATGATCCGGTGGGCATGTCTTGCATGATGGCCCATAGATATAAAGCATTGGCATCGTATCCAACAATCTTTTGACAGGTTTTTGCTTGTTTTCCTTGATCTTCCATTTCTTTTTCTCTGATTTTGGTTTTTCCAGCCTCGTGATATCGATGAAATATTATACTGGGGCCACCCACCATATTTTTCTTAAAGAGATAGTACAAATCTTTGTTTTTTTCGTCAAACAGAGAGAAGAAGATGCCAGATTCCAGGGTGGTAAAGAGGTACGTCAAGGTAACACCGGGAATAGAAATACCTTGTCTCAACATGTCGATCTTTTTATCTTTCCAGAAGGCGCACATTTTTTCCAGGGCCTCACAAAAGGGTTGGACATCTAGGTTGTTGTACCAGATGAGAAATTCTCGAAAGGTCTGCATATTATTGTTCGACCAGACTTGTTGGCAGTACTGGTAGTCTTCGCCAGAAATGTTCTTGTTTTTCAACGTAGAAAAGAAGGCTTCGTGCGGTGGAAGGGAAGGGTGTTCTAATTTCTCAAGAGAGTCCAGCCATTGATAAGGAAAGAACCCCTTGGTTTGAGGACACTCGTAGGCCTTCAGAAACTTGTCGTAGCTGAAACCGGGAGCAAGAAAGTTGGTGACGTCAAGGAAGCGAAGATGTGGGGTCTTTAGGCACATGAAATTGTGATTACGCTTGATAGTAAACTGAACGCCTTCATTCTGGACCAGGACAGGAAACAGAAATTCTTTGACGGCATTCAAGTCATATTTACCAGAATTGAAGCCCAAGACAGGAAGTTCTTGTAGATATTCTTGGAAACGATCTCTCAGTTTCTTTAAAGGGTACACTTTTTTCTTAGGTTCTGGGCTGTTGTCCTCTGGTCTATCATATTCACACTCGTGATCATTCTCACTCTGATCCTCGTGTTCCCGATCTAAGGCCCTGTAAAACGAGGCACCTTGTTCTTCTACGTCATCGTCAATAAAGACACGATCTTCTTCAGTTTCAGACTCGATGTCTTCTTCCTCTTCATTATCTGTGTCCATGAGATCTTCTCCTCCATCATCACTATCTTCCTGGGTGAGGTTTTCCACTGTGTTAGTTTTTGAAGGGTCACCAGCTTCTGATTTTTGCTGTAGGTCTTGCAGCTTTTGGTCGATCGCTTCAAAAAGAAAGTTAAACTCTTTTCTTAACAGGTCATAGCTCTTTCCACTTATTTTTACGAGGTGTTCTAACATCTCTTTGACGAGCTGTTTAGAGTCCCCATCTGACACAAAGCACTTGGGTTGGTCGTAGTCTGGAACGTTGGAGCAGACACTCACGCTGAGGGGTATATGTTTAGCGTCCCATGTCAGTTTCTCTGTATCGTTAAGGTCTGTCTCAGGTGTAAACATACACTCAAAGTCAAACGTAGCTCTGTAGGGGAAGAACTTGAGATGCTCAGGAACAGTCAACCCTTCGTCTTCTAGCAACTGAAAAATGGTGGGTGGAGTCTTGTAAGCACCTCCTGGAAACTGGTAAGTTACTTTCGCTTCACAGGTTCGCTCGTGACGATTTAATCCAATTGGCCTTGTCTGCTTCAAATTCTCCTCTTAACTCTGGTTTTACTAAACTTTCTACCGATTGCCCTGCGATCGCGATATAGGCAGAGTCGGTGTCCATTTCACAATACTGAAAATCACTACGATCAATATACTTATCCATGAAATCAAAATAAAACTGAAGCATTCTAAGTTTAGCGTACTGATAAACGAAAAAACCTATCTGCATGGGAAGGTTCAACTTGATTTTTTTCTTGCAAGATTGCACTTCAAACGTATCTTTATCAATCAGTTCAATCTGTCTAAAGAAGGGTTTGTTTATTAAGCGGGACGCTTTGGTTTCTTCACAAAACTGGACTTCTCGATGGCGTTCTTGATCTGTGATTGTCTTTCCATAACTCGAGTTCCCCACCTATGAAAAAAATTAAAGAGACAACATTGATATGAGTTTTTTTTGTACCTTAAAACGTATTTCCTCCTTCTTTACCCTAATAGGAAAACAACTTACCAATTTCATAGTGTCTGCGATGATGGCTTTGTTTGGGTCGACATCTCCAGCCCGTCTAGCATCCGATACAGCTTCTCCAAAGGGTGAAAAACAGGGAACGGGTGTATACTCTACTACTTGATAAATATGTGTCACGTCCAGACCATGCTCCAAGTACCACTTAATGAGTGGGGAAGCCAATAAGATCTTCTCACCAAAATAGCTACCAACGAGACTTCGTCGAGGTTGTGACATGATTTTCTCTTCCTCAGCAAAGGTTTGCATGTGCTGACCAATATCTTCTCTTGAAATTTCTACGTTTTTGAAAATGGGGCACATTTCTGCAAACTTGGGTTTTAGTGCATCAGGTACTCGAACGTCACACTCGACCACTCCAAAGAGAGACTCGTTTCTAATAGCGCTTAAGATCTGGTCTTGTGTCAGAGTCTTGTGATGATCAAGAGGGTGGTTAAACTTGGAGTTCAGAAACTGCTGAACTTGTGAGTTGGTTTTCTTAATTCGACGCCACTGGCACTCGTAGATTTCAACAAGATGGTACCCCTGATCCTTGATGTACTTGGAAATTTCTTTGGTTTCTTCTCGTAACTCCCTCATTGGTCTTTTTCTCTTTTCGTTCATTTCTTTTCCTTTAGTAAGATGACAGATATGCCCATGCCACCAGCAGCCATGGAACTGAAAGACTGTTTGCGAAGGACCGTGAAAACCATCCACTGGTATTTTTCTTTCACCAATGCGTTTTTCTGTATTGTTCATTTGGTGGCGTATAAAAATTCCTCCTTCATGTGCCTTCCACTCTAACCACTCGGTTGCCATCCTGGAAGAACTTTCTCTCT